CATGAGTACTCATACATAGCTCTTTACACATATCCATAATTACTTATGTTGCATAAAATCTGAGAGTCGCACTGATTAACCAAAATCATTATTACAGCTCTTGGTATTTATTATCTTCTATAATTCTAGAAAGGTTCTATCACTTTATGTGACCACCGGTAGTAGGCATGAGTGTTTTCAATTTTATGATATTAAAAACACACTCTTGGGCTGGGGTTGTGGCTCAACGGTAGAGCTCTCGCCTAGCACGTGCAAGGCCCTGGGTTCGATCCTCAGCACCACATAAAAATAAACAAAAAAAATAAAGGTATTGTGTACAACCAAAAAATAAATATTAAAAAATACATTCTTAACACCTTCTTTCATTGTATTATAATTGGTGGTAATGGTTTATTTCACTCTTAACTTTTGGAAAAAATTTCTGGTCCTCACAATTAGCATGTCATCAACACCAGGAGAACAGGGATTAAGTTCTCACTTATCTTACTTAGCCAAACAGAGGACACAAAACATGTCTCTTGGGCTATCTGTGTGTAATGCCTCCCCAAAACAGAGATGTTAGCCAGACTTCAGAGGTGGGCCCAACGCCTCTGAACACAGTTGCAAATACAAATCTTCCATTGCTGCAAATCAAGATTGAACCCAATGCCTTACCATAGAACCTGCTTCACTGTACATTTACTAAGTGAATGAAAAGATAACTGTTTATTATATTGATGGCTTCTTCAAAGTATAAGAAAAATAATTGTGAGTAGGGCAGTTCTTGGAATTAGGAAGGTCTGTCACAAAACAAAACAAAACAATCACCTTCACCACAACACTGCCCAGCCCTGCTTTTCTAATGAGTTGGCTTTTCCAAAGCTGAGTTTCTCTCCCTCCAATAAACAAAGGAAAGACACTTTCAACGAACCATATCAGGGAAAGGGCTTCCTGCATTATGCTAACATCTACTATAAAACAGAAATCTAATGCAAGATGCATCAAATAAGAGCAAAATCTCTGGGGACTAGATTCAGCTAGCATGCTGATGCCATGTAGCTGAGAGCTTGTGGCAGCATTTCCACTACAAAATGCAATAATCCAGAGCCGTCACAAATTGAATGAAGAGGTAATAAATAAGTTGTTGCACCTCTCTTATTCCAGAAAAATAATTTAAAAATTAAATTGTACATGTAGATATGAGGGGAACTATGCCACTGGCGATGCTGGTCAGTTTGAAACTTACAAAGGACTCCCCCACATTTGCAGTCCATTCTTCTGAACTTATTGGAATCTTGCATTTTTTATTGAGTTATTATTGTTATTGCTTTTTAGGGGGAAAATTAGTCTTAAAATCACAAATAAGAGAGTTATAAGATGTTGAAAGTAATCTAGTTCACAACTTCTCATTTTAAAACCTCAGAGAAGTAATAAATAGCAGAGCCAAAGACTATGGAAATAACCACTTAATTTCATCGCCTTTGAAATCCCATTAGATCTTTGATTTTGTTCTATATAAATAATTTCTTTTATTAGAGGAATGTAAAAGATATTGAGCATTCGTTCTTAGGAAGAAGCACTTTAGAGTATCAATTTATGTTAGGTAAAATCTTATAGAAACACAAAAGCTAGCTTTTTTCAGAGATTTAGATAATGTCATTTAGATATTAGAAGACAACACAATTGAATCTTGGAGCTTAAAGGGATTTTAGGTATTTTCTAATATGACCAATTTTAGATAGGAGCTGATTGAAAACCACAGAGATGAGACATGTAAGGGCACATGATCAGAGGGGCTGAGTCAGTGTTTCCTAACTCCTAGCTCAAGGTTCTGTCTGTCTTATCAAGTTGACTTTTCTATATTACAGCCTGGTATGGCATCTGATAATTTAACTCATAAAAATCCTAAGTGTTATAAAATATGAATGGGCTATCACTATGGCCTTCTTATTTTTTCAGTCTCCTTCTATTGTTTAAGGGCAGCTTTTTCTCTTCAAGTATACCAGGACCACTGATTTTAAAAGCCAAGGCAAAAACAGTCCTGGCCCTTGTGGTAAAACATGAGTACTGAGCACCCAACAATGAAGGACAAAGGTATCCCTGTCACCAACCATCATCTGCAACACATTCTCATTCACTTCTTGATGCCTCTGGCTACTTGGCAGACTTGTTGGGCCAGGCTGCACTGACTGAGGACCAACTCATCCTTTGAAGGTTAAAAATTTTTAACCTAAACCCAGTACGTCCCTGGTACCCAGGTGATGCAATATTAGCATTCTCCTCTGCTATTATCTGTGACACTTCAATTAGGCTCTGTTCCTCCTTAGGCTTCAATTTGTTCTATGATAAAACTGCAGAGATCTCTGCAGTTCTAAAATGCAATGGTCTGTTATTTAAGGGACAGTTATTGTTATAAAGGGAGAGGAAAAGCTGAAACTCAGGTGGCTTCCTGATGCACTGCATTGGAGTCCTTACTCTTTTCTGTCTCTGCCCACCCAAACCAGTCAGTGAGAGTGGTTAGAAGAATGCTTGAGGGAAAGAATTGCTTGATCCTCATGAACAACTGGTGAATCCAGGGAGAGATGGACAAAAACAAAGCAGAGATATTTAGAACAAAGCCAGGAATGTGGGAGGAAGGGCTGATTCATGTCTCTTATTAGATAAAATAGTCTTTAGGCACAGACTCAATTCTAGATTTTATCCTAGCAGAACAAATGTTAGGGAAGTCATTTAAATCCTGGCTGAAATGCTATCAGAAGGTGTCTTGCTGCTGCTTTACACTGATTTGGGAGGAGGAGCAGTTCTATCACAAAGCTTGCTGCAGTCTACCCCAAGGACAGGGCGCATGGCAAGACTATAAAAATCTCTTCTGTGTTATCCTGGGAGACTGGTCCAAATCATAACCTCTGCCCACACAGCAGCAAGATACACACATAACTATGAAACCACCATCAGCAGCTTGATGTATCTGCTTTACTTCCTGCTGTGACCAAGCTCAAATAGCCATGTTCTAGCTCAGTCTATTGCTTATATTACAACCCAGCACAAGTCTAGGGGGCAACCTCCACATCTGTGATCACCATAAATCTCTATCTTTATTATGACAATTTTCTGGCAGGTGACAGCACAGGTTTTGAAGAAAAGGCAGTGAAAGGACCATGTGGACTAGGAGCAGGTCTACCCCTCCCAAATCCATACAAAATCACATTATCAGCCCAGAGAAGGCTGAATTTATGTCTCTATTACCTATGTTCATATGAACTGAAATGTACACCAGCAGTGATATCACCATTGTCCTATCAGAGTTCCTAGATCTTGTGTAATTGTTATAAAGATGAAAAAATTTACCTTTAAAAAGTAAAAATACCAACAAAATGTGACATCCCATAATTAACAAACATCCTTTATTCCAGTAGTAGTCACCTACAGAAATTTTACCACCTGTCTGGAAAAATCTCAAAGAGTGTAATACCCTCTTGCTCAGGCTCACTGGGGGCTTCTGCAGAGTGCTGGCAAGCCTCAGAGTTGAGACTAGCCTTCCTAGGGATGGTGAGCATCAGCAAAAGCGGGGACACAGTCCATAATCCAAGACACTGTGGAAGGCAGAGTTCAGATACCTGGCACAAATCTGGAACATTTCAGAAGGTACAAAGAAGAACTAGATCACTGGTGAGAATAAGAAATGAGTTCCCATCTGTTTCATCTAAATAGGTCACACTGAACATGTACTGGTAGCCACAAAAATGTCAATGATTTCTCCTTGGTCTCAAACCTCATTGTATTTTTGATGTTCTCTTTTTTTTTTTTTTAAGTCAGGTTTATTGTGATGACATTTACTTTGAGAAAATTTCATCCTTTTAATGCACAATCTACAGGTTGGAAAAAGCTCACATAAGCATGTAAACTAACATTACTATTGAGATATAAAAGTTTTATCATAACCAAAATTCCATCATGTAGGAGTTTTAATCAATCCCTCCATCTAGCCTATGACAGCCACTGATTTGATAAACCAGACTGTACTTTGATACAAATTTCTGTACTGTCTAGACTTCCCTCTTAAATATTTACCATATTTTATTGATTCCAACACCAGAATTGAGCACACTGAAATCAGGTCATATTTCAAAATCAATGGCATCTTAATTTATCTGGAAACATTTTTTTTAATTTATTCTTTTTAGATATACGTGACAGTAGCTGACAACAAATTTTAAGAAATACCTGAAATAGCAATGCGTCTCATAATGTACAGTACTTAAAAAAAAAAAATCAGTGAAGTCTTTTATTTCTTAACATTCATTGACTACTTACTATGTGCTGAGCACTCTTCTAGACACTGGAAACATAAAAATGAATACACAGCCCTCAAGGAGCTAACATTTGAAAGGAGGAGACATAAATAATAATAAAAATGCCTATGGTAATGTCTGTAGCAAAGGCCTAGCCACTCACTGAGACTAAAAAGAATTATCTCTAGGTCAGAATCTTTCTTCAGGAAAAATGTCCCCCAAATCACAGGCTTCCATGTACACAGGAAATAAGAATGAGGGTGGTCACCATTTAGCTTCTCCCCATTCATTCCAGGAGTGAGTTACTGCCATACCATATGACATATTGCCTAGGAACAACCCAATTATTTTTCCATAATACGCTGCTATAGTGGAGAAGTCTCATTTTAGTGTTCAACAGCTGCAAGGCTTTTATGATAATATCGAAAGAAAGAAGTCACTGGAAATAACTGCTCAATCTGTGAAAGGCAGATGTAACCAAATCCTTCACACACATGCTTCAAGGTCCCCACATTTTTCCCTGGACAACTTTTTTTTTTTTTAATATTTATTTTTTAGTTGTAGTTGAACACAATACCTTTATTTTATTTATTTATTTTTATGTGATGCTGAGGCTCGAACCCAGGGCCTCACATGTGTTAGGTGAGTGCTCTACCACTGAGCCACAATCCCAGGCCTCGCTGGACAACTTTCAAAGGGAATGTAGAAGAGGAACATCTGTGCCCTTACCTGGTTCTTGAAAGTGCTCCTCATTAGACAAAGTCCTAGACAAGATTAGTATTAATGCTTCTTTGAATTGGTCAAAATGCACCTAAAAAATAAAAATAAAAAATTTAAAATCATTTCCACAGTGCCAAGATATCTATGAGGTACCAGAAGAGTTTGTTCCCATCCTGACAGCCTTGAATTGAGTCATTGCCCACCTTTGTCCCCTTTTTTCTTCATTTCTCTAAAGTACAGAAGGGACAATGGGCTGATCATTTTGATATTCAGTGCCATAAACAAATTAGTATTATATCAACATTGATATTTATTCAACCCCCAAGGGAAAAAGCTGTACAGCAAAACCCTCTTAAAAGCTAAAAAGCTTAAAAGATATATATATATATATATCACACACACACACACACACGTGTATGTTTGTGTGTGTGTATTTAACTCTTAGCTTCTTTTATTTTTTCAAACAAGAACAGAAAAGAAAAATGTTAGGTTAGATATTAGGAAAAACTTCCCAAGTAAAGTTTTAGCTCTTAAGATATTCTAGAAGAGGTAAGCTTTCTTTTAAGGATGACTGGACTATGGTCTTTCCTGGGGCAGGAATATAATAATTTATCTCCCAGTTGCCCAAGAGTCTATAAACAAGCATAAGTCAATAGCAAATCAGGAGATAAGAGAATCTTGAGAATAATTTTCATGAATCCATAATAATACAAATGCCTTGACTGCAGTGTGAAAGAATCTGTCTTATTTAAGGAAATAGTCATAACTGGGATATTATTTTGCTTAAAAACATAAAACAATTTTCTTTTTGGCCAGCTAGATTTTTCTATAACTTCAACTTAAGGGACAGGAAGAAGAGATGGTAGTTCTTCTCATCATAAGGCTTCTTGGATAATGTGGCACCTATTTACTCCATAGATAAATACAAAATGAAAGTTTGATAAATGTTGCAACCTTTGCTGCTGTGGATTTTTCTGGATGTCATTAAAAAACACTGCCTAGAGGCTTAAACATAGGTGACAGATTAAAAAACACCTCCTAGTTAAATTTGGAAAAGCAAGAAACCTTATTAGTTATCTAAACAATGGGGGAAAATCAGATAAGATATTACCTGTGCAATCAAAGCAAAGGAGAAGAATCCATCTTCATTTATGTCATAAAATTGTGTTTGCTTACAATTTACCACACACTTCCAAGGAATATGTGACTTCCCAACCACATGATTTTAATTAAGTAAAATTACTTCCCCAAATCATATTTCTTTTAGACTGAACGTTACATATTTTTAAAAATGTTTAATTGCATATATTTAAGGTGTACAACCTGGTGGCTTGATATATATTTATATACTGTAAAAAAATCATCATAACCAATCTAATTAACATATCCATCATCTCATAGGTTTATTACTTTTAAAACTGCTTGTTGTCATGAGGACATTTAGGATCTATATACTCTTGGCAAATTTCAAGTTAGATTTATGGTCTTGAAAAATCAACAATCAAAGGAGCCACAGTAGTCTGTCATGGGAGGCAGGGCATCTGCTAAAGAGATAGTAGGATACAACCCATGGACAGTTAAACAGTTGCAGAAATGCAAGCTCTGCTAACCAGGATTCACAACTGACAAATTACTTCAAAACCCCTGGGAGGGAGGATTTGTGGTCTTAGTTTCAGGAATGGGCTTTAAGCACAGTGTACCCCAGCTCTAGTTCACATGGCAACACCATCTTCCCTACCAGCCATTCATAAACATCCCATACCCAGGAGCTTTCCCATCCGGGCCACTTAACGGGCATCTCCTAATTCCTAGCAGAAGTATTCCTATTCCCAGGGCAGGCAGCAGAGGGTTTGGAAGGACACACAGAGGCTCTGGTGTCAGGCAGGTCCAGGTTCTAACTCTGGTGCTACTGATCACTTCCTGTTGTGAAACTGCTAAACCTCTCTGAGCTATTCTTTGCTCATCTGTCAAACTGAGGATATCTATCAACAAATATTTATTGAGTAGCTGCTATATGTCAAGCACTGTCAGATACATGGCACAAATCTGGAACATTTCAGAAGGTACAAAGAAGAACTAGATCACTGGTGAGGATAAGAAATGAGTTCCCATCTGTTTCATCTAAATAGGCCCTGGTGATACAGCAGAGAACAAGAGTGACAAAAGACTTGGCTTCATGGAACTCCGCTCTCAGGAAATATCAAAAGGAGTCAGGCAGGTACTATGCTAACAGCACTGTATGAATTTTATGGTTTTTAGAGTAACTCCTCCCTCATCATGTTACCAGCATTCTAACTTAGAGCCCTGACTCTGGGGTCCTAACTAACCAGGCTCAACCAACCTGCCCCCCCCCCCCCCAAAAAAAAACAAGCGGAAAAGGTCATGGTGAAATGTAGCAAAGGGAGCTTTAGTTAATATGGCCATAATGGGAAGGCAAAGTGTTAGATCCAGCATCTCAGCCCTGTCTTGGGGCACTGATGGGTGCTTTAGGTTCAAACAGGAAGGATTGGGGGTCAAGAGGTAGGCATAATTAAACAGATTTGGTCAAACTTGTCTGGTTGATCATTCTTTCAGTTCTGGTTCCATGAAGTGGCACCAGAGAAGCCACTATCACTCTGAGGGGCAATTTATACTTGTGGTTCTGGATGTTTATCCATCAGACCTGTGATCCTGGAAAGTGGCAACTCAGTTCTCATGAAGTGACTGCTCCTGGTGTTCCTGGAAGGTGTAGGACAGGATTTAAAACTTCTAGGTGCTACTCCAGAGATCTGAAACTGCATGCCATAGACTTCCCTGCAAATTTGGCTTCAGTCTTGAAGAGTGATGAGACATGTTGGCTAAATTTAGGACCAATAAACCTTGTATTACTAGTTTTAGATAAGTACTCCTTAGTTGATGAACATGCCTATGTTCAAAGCTGAGCAGGGACCCAACCCAAAGTTTAAAGAAGACAGATACAAAACCTGTAGGGCTCAGTAGACCCAGGAGGTCACAGATTTTAGCAAAGGCATTCTTGTTTCCAAATCTATTACAATAGCAGTGTTAGAGAGATAAAATGAAAACCATGTAAAATGTCTAGAACACCCTAGAATTTCCTAAGTATCCCACAAGTGGTAGTTAATACTACTAATAGTGGGGGTGACTGTTCCCACCACTATTACAGTCAAACTGGGCCTACATTTTGAAGCGAAGCAGCTGACTGTGGGAACAGTTGAGATAGATGAGTGGAAGGGTGGGATGGAGCAGGGAGTTTGGGAGCCCACCTTCTCCCAGCCCCAGGACCTGTAGAATTGCTCAGAACCAGAGGAACTGATCTGGTCTGCTGTGTGTGGGACCCCCAACTCTGGTTTCTTGCTCTAAGATATTCATGGAGGAACCTGAACGAGCCTAAACTTACCCTGGCTTCAAGCTGAATGGCAGGCTCCTGTTTCAAATCCTTCATACTGACTCTGTAGGTCTCCCTAGGATCTTTCAATGGTCTAAGTTTTGGCCAGGGCAACGGGAAAGAGCCCTTCTGAATTGTGTCCTGACACAGTTCAATTCAGTAGATGGCAGTGGTGAGGGTCACCCATGGGTTTACATAATTCAATTTTATTCCCCTGACAAATGACAATGCACACATAATTTGTACTTCCAAGACTTTATATGAGGCCTAAATCTCCCTTTTATAAGGTATAATAGGCCTGGGGTTGTGGCTCAGGGTCTGGGGTTGTGGCTCAGTGGTAGGCACTGGGTTCGATTCTGCACCGCATACCAATAAATGAGAAAAATAAAGGTCCATCAACAACTAAAATTTAAAAGAAAAAAAATAAGGCATAACAAACACAAAAATGCTTGAGATGGTACAAACTTCATGCATATGAAGGCTGTTCATCCTGTAACTCCATCTACCTAGAGTCCAACAGAAAATGAGGAAACTTACAAGGGAGGTGTAAGGCTAAGCAGGGCCCTGTAGAGCCCTGAGCTCTTGCCTAGGAACAGCCACAGGACCAACACAGGATCTCCTTACTCTTACACTACCAGATTTTTTAGAAACTTCATTATCTGCTTCCTAACCCAGTACAGAGCAGAAGTAGCAAATAAAAGAAAGGGGTATTCCAAGGTAAGACCAGGAAGTAACTACTGACATATTTGAATTGAGAAAAGACATTAGCTATCTTCCTTCAAACAAAAGTGATGTGTAATATTTTTATGCTTTAAAAACCATTTTTTAAAAAAAAGTTTTTTAGCTATAGTTGGACACAATACTTTTATTTTACTTATTTTATGTGTTGCTGAGGATCAAACCCAGTGCCTCTCATGTGCTAGGTGAGCACTCAGCCACTGAGCCACAACCCCAACCACCATTTTTAAATCTACAGAACTGATTAAAAAAAAAAAAAAAATGGCATGTCCACTCAAAAATAGGTCGTGGTCATTAGTGTTGGGATAAAGATTAATAAGCTACTGAAGGAATCCTCAGGGTATCATTCTATTATATTATAAAAGAAAAGCTGATAGATCAAGAAGATTTTATGATCAAGGACAATCTAATTTATGTTTAATTATTCTTTGATAGGATAAAACTTCAGAAATCTCCAGTACTCAACATGTTGTGTGTTCTCTCTCTCTCTCTCTCTCTCTCTCTCTCTCTCTCTCTCTCTCTCATCTGTCACTATATGGGGTAAAAGGTCCAGTTATCTCCAGTTAACCAGAACATTTTATTAACATGAGTCCTGAATAATACCAAGTGAATGGGGGTATTTTTGAAAGTTCATTATTTCCTAGAAATTTTGTCCTTTCAACTTCACAACATCCATGTGAGATAGTCAAAGCAGAGAGTGCCCCTACCCCCTTAAAATTTAAGAGAAGTAGCGCAGAGAGGGCACGTGCTTGAGGCCATGTGTCTTGAAAGTGATGGGGTGGCTTGGAGACCCTAAGTAAGCTAGGTCTTCTGGTGGGCCTCTTCAAGGTCCAGCCTGACCCAGACCCACTTCCCTCCTGATCTGACCTCTCTGGGAAAACCCCTGCTGCTGCAAGTCAAACCCTACCCTTCATACAGAGCAGCTGGGTGTAAGATGGCAATAGGGGATCAGTCATCAAAAAGATGCA